GAAAAATAAATTTAATCATTTTCTCTAATGACTTTTTACTTAATAACCAAAAATTAACACTGAAACCGTAGATGGGACTACCTTATATGGGGCCTCGTCACATCATCTTCGGTTTCTTCATAGGTGGCAAACACACATTTGGTTTCGTCTCCTCATCTGTGGTTTCGTCGCCTCTTCTTCGATTTCACATTCCAATAAAAAAAATCATTTTTAGTTGAAATCGCAGATGAGGCTAATCTATGGTTTCATCTCCACTCATCTTCGGTTTTATTCATCGTTCATGGGTTTCGATAACGAAACCACATATTGGTATATGCCTCGTCTTCGGTTTCATAGACTCATCTTCAGTTTCGTTCTTCGTTTTGATTTTTTTTCAAGACATGTTTGATTTTGTTGTTGTTTATCCGGGTTTTTTTAATTGTTGTTTGTTATCCTTGAACAAGTACTACTAGGTTAATTTGCCTTGAAAAAAATCAACACGAAGAACAAAACTGCAGACAAATCTATGAAACCAAAGATGAGGCATATACCAATCTGTGGTTTCGTCATTAAAGCTCAGGAACGATGAACGAAAAAACATGAACAAAACCGAATATGAGTGGAGAGGAAATGCATATGAGGTAACCTCATCTGCGATTTCAACTAAAAAAATGAATTTTTTTTATAGTGGCAGGCGAAACCAAAGATGAGGTAACGAAACCGCAGATGAGAAGAAGAAACCAAATGCATGTTTTGCCATCTATGACGAAACCAAAGACGAGGTGACGAAACCGCAAATAAGGTAACCTCATTTAGGGATGAGAATTTGGCCCGAAAACCCGAACCGAATTAGACCCGAATAAGCAATTCGATTCGGTTTTCGGGTATCTATATAAGGCTTATTCGGTTTTCGGGTTATTCGGTCCGGGTTACCCGAATAAGGGCTTATTCGGTCCAAAAACCGAACCGAATATGAAAAGTCACATTTTTTTCCTAACACGATTGCTTATTCGGTGTTCTTTTCTATCGATCGTTACCCAACAAAACCCACGTAATAGACCAAAAAAAATCAACTAAATCGAATTCGATCATCCGTATTACACCAAAGCTTTAGAAGAGGCGATAAAGAACGGAGATGGAAAGGGAAAACAACCAATTAATATTCCCGAATAGTTAATTCGTGTTTGAAAAATGTTATTTTGGATATGGATAAAAACTTAAGATTCATATTTTAATTTGGGTGTGGAATGTTTAATGTTTAACTTATATACTTATAGATAGATTTTTGGGTGTTTTGGATGTTTAATTTTTAGTGTTTAATTTGTTTCTTTAAAAGATTTGTTATGAAATCATAAGCTACAAAAATCATACAAAATACAATATTTATAATCACATTGTAAATGTTATTTGGGTTATTTGGGTTATTTGGGTTCTTCAGGTTATCCGACTCCTTAATCATCTTGTACATGTTATTTGGGTTATTCGGGCCGGAACCGAACCGAACCGAATAATACTCAAACCGAACCGAACCCGTATTGCTTATTTGGTTCGGTTTTCGGTTCATACAATTACTCTTATTCGGTTTTCGGTTTATTCGGGTTCGGGTCGGTTCGGTTCGGTTCCGACCCGAATAACATCCCTAACCTCATTTGCAGTTTCAATGGCTATTTTTTTAAAAGAAAATAATTTTTGGTTACTAGATGAAAAATCATTAAAAAATAACTAAATTTATAATTCCCGCTATATTTTACAAACTCCTGGATATTTGGAATCAACCGAGTATTAACAATCCCTTGCTTGGGATAATTTGGATGATATATATCAACATATAACATATTTTAATTTGTTTGTTGATGAGACGTCACCTATATTTGAACATAGGAAAAATGATTTGCAAAGAAAAAATTAAATTTGAAAGTACAAGTCTAAAGATTTTATTTTATAACAAAAACGTATATCATATTTTGATTTTATATATATATATATATATATATATATATATATATATATATATATATATATATATATATATATATATATATGGTGAGGTTCAATAGAGAACCACAATTAACCAAGGAACCAATCTTTTTTTCAATTTTTAGAATTTATTTTTTATCAAAAAAAAAAACTAAAAATACAGAAATTCATAACTTTTTATCCTTTTTCCAATGATATCAAATTCGATTTTTTTTTACGTCAAATTCACAATGTGAATCTTTGAAAATTCACAATGTGAATCCGGATTCACACGGTGAATTCGAAAAATATTTTTCACATTCACAATGTTAATATATGAATTTAGATATTTTTAGATTTTTTTTTTCGATAAAGAATAAGCTCTAGAAATTGAAAAAAAGATTTGGTTCCTTGAAGAACCAATAATTATGGTTCTCTATTGAACTTTTCCAAGCAAGAACGTCTTGCAAGCAAGAATGTTTTGAAAGCAAATAACTTTTTGAAAGAACGAATGTTTGATGATGTGTTTGAAATGTTTTGAAATATAGATGCTTTACTTTTGAAACGTGTATTTTGATACTAACGTATGAAATATATAAAGCATGGAAAGTAACGATAAAAAATGAAAAGTAATGACAAGAATTGGAAAGTAATGACAAAAAAATATTGATGGAGCCATGATGTCCCCGTAACGGGATATAAAGGAATCTATCAGGGTGGTGCCTCCCCTTCGTGAGATAGATGTACTAATGGAAATGATGTATTGGTCGGCTGATTTTGTTCTTTCCACTTTGGTATAGACGTGGGGGTATTGCTAAATCCTAAGTACAAAATGGCAACGGTTCAATACCGAAATTAGCCCTTAATGAAAGAATGGAATGGAGTGTGAAAAGAAATGTCTTTGGAATTATGTTAAGTCTAATGAAATGTTTTAATATGAAATGGAATTTGGAAAATGTCTATTTGAAATATGTTTGCATAATGAAATGTTTTTGATGAAAATGTGATAAATGTTTTGGGTCACAAACCTGCGTAGCTCACGAGAAATTATTGTCTTACATATCTCTTTTTAATGTCATGTATCTTAGGTTATACGCAATGATAGAGTGTTGATTGATAGAAGATAGATGATGTGTCATCATAGATGGAGTGGAACTTGTTGAGTTCGTTAATTTTGGTATCGATGTAATTCATATTGCTTGCAATAGTTGTATTGATGTTTAATGGTAACACTTGTTTTATATGTAAATGTTTTTATGGGACCAAGTTTTATTAAATGCGGGTTAATCCGGAAAAGATTTTATAACCATAGCTTTCAAAGAGTTTGAAAAACATTTAGAAAAACAATAGGGTGTTACAAAGACAAAGGGGTAAATGGTTACCCTTATGCCAAGTCATTTATTATGCTACGCGTAGGATCTTGACTGTGTCAGTTTAGGTTTTAAAGGAGATGTGTCGAACAAACTGCTTACTTTTTCCTTTCTCATTTTCCTTCATCAGGAAACCCTTTTCTCCAGTTTCTTTCTTCTACACTTGAAAATGGCAATATACACCATCGTAGATCTGTACTTCCAAGGTATCTTTAGCAGGTACCTAATGGTATACATAATAAGCTGGTTAACATTGATTTCATCGGCATGGATAAGGATGAGTGTTTTGCGTTCAGTTACAGATTCATAGATGAGAAATGTGATAAGCTTTATAATTTTCTTTTTGATATTTAATTTTCAGAAGATTTGAAGTTAATTCAAATTAACATTGACTATGCCGAATTTGTAGGCATTGTGTATGAAAATGGTGTTGATATCCGTATAGACCATTTCAGTGCTACTAACATGCAGAAACGATCGATAGAAGACAAAGCTGAAGTAGTTAATGATATTCGATCGAAAAAAAAACACAATGATACTACAAACGAAAAAATAACACAAAGATAGTCCGAACGAAAAAAAAATAACACGTGGATAATTCGAACGAAAAAAATTACTCAGTAATTGTTTGAACGAACAAAAAGACAAAAAACAACAAAATAACAAAAACAAAAAAAAACAAAAAACAAAAACAAAAAATAAAAAATAAAAAACAAAAACAACAAAAAACAAAAACAAAAATGACAAAAAAAAAATCAAATTAAACAACATAAACCAAAAGCCATTCCAACAGGGGAAGCAATTTGGGGAGTGAATGAAGAATTGTTCTTGGGTATATTTGAATTTTTTTAAAATACCTCTTAAAAATGCTCGAAAAATAAGATAATTTTGTGGCGCCAAACACAATCTTAAATTTGTGTTATCGAACAAAGGTTTTTTCTTTAATTTAAGTTTTTTATTAAAAACCGAAAAACAAACACATATAAACACTCAAGATATTAGGTTTTCTTTAAAACTATTTTTTTTTCTAAGTCAGAGTGCACCACATCTTTAAGTGGATAAAGTTTGAACTTTTTACAAAATCACTCGTTCCATTAACCCGAATATGGGTTGTAGTCGGATAGTTCTCTGTCGTTCTAATTTATATTTTTTAATAAATGAAACCTAAAAATGACACGTGTCAGTTTTTTAGAATGTCTCTTTGACACGTGACATTTTTGTATGATTTTTATTATTTCCTTTTTTTTTGCAACAAATCCAATTCAATTCAAATTTTGAAAATACAAAATCATATCCTAATAACATTATTATGTTTATTTTGTTTAACAAATTAATTCATAATTACTTACCATCAACAAGATCTTGGTTTTTTTGACATTTATTATTTTTTTATCTATATAAAAATTTTAGATATACCGACTGTGGTTTCCACGGGTTATAACCTAGTTTAACAATCATTAAAATCAAATCTATGATCATGAATTGGTCCCAGAGACGAGGGTTCTTTCTTCAATTCACCCGTTCTAGCTAAGCAACCAAGTCCAAGTTTGACTTAGAGAAATTGTCAACGGTCAAATTTCTTGTTCTTATTTCACTTGCTAAAAAGTTAACACAAAATCTCACCTTCCCAGAAACCAACAAACCCCGCAATTTCAAATCATTTAAAAGCAAAATCCCAAAACAGAATGCACATATCTCTCTTTGTTTTACTAGGTCTCTGACTATTTTGTTGATCATATCAAGACTTTTCTGTTTTACACAAGTAAATACAAAAAATAACAACCATGAATTCTTTCGGTGGAAGATTAAACACAAGATTTTATTTTGACAATTCTTCAAGAAGTCTTGATTCAAATGACAACAAGAACGAAGAACGGAAGTGGGATTTGTTTGAGTTCAAAAACGGAGTTGAAAGTCCAAAGCAGTCTTTTATTACACCGTTTTATACTTCTTCTTTCACCTCTACAAACCCAAATCAGTTCTTGGATCCTCCTTTCTTCTCCTTCAATTCCAATGTAAGTTTTCCTTTAATAAAGAAAGTATTGATCTTTGATGTGATTGGGTTAATGGGTACTTTCTGTTTTTGGTTATTGTCGCAGATTATTTCATCTTCAGGGAGTTATTCTGATTTTCATTTCAAGGAGGAAAAAGCAAATGATACTAATTTAAATTTTCAATCTCAAATATGGCCTACCTCATCTTCCATTTCCGGAAACAAGAAGGTAAGTGTGTAATTTGGCTTTCTTTATATTTTTTATAGCAACATTGTCAACGGTTGTAAATTGAGTTTTTAATATGTATATTGGCATGTTGACTTTTTTGGTCAATTGTTGTATTCTTTTTCAGTTTATCTACTTAGAATTGTGCAATGTTAATAGAATCAGGTTTCAGAGGTGTTGATGTTTTGTTGCCTTTTTGTTTTGAAGCAGGAAGAATCTACGAAGAGTCAAGCTCTGGATTGGAATGTTGAAAGTCAACAGAAACCAATTGACTTCTCGATAGAAATCAGCAAAACTGAACCGAAATCCATACAGTCACCTCAAAGCCATAGTAATTTTAACTCAATTCAAGCTACTAATGAGCAAAGCCGATATCAAGATGGTTACAATTGGAGAAAATATGGTCAAAAACTAATCAAAAGAAGCAATAATCCTCAAAGTTATTATAAGTGTACTTATCCTAATTGTCCAACGAAGAAGAAAGTAGAGAAGGACTTGAATGGGATTATCACCAAGATCATTTACAAAGAAAAACATAATCATACAATGCCTACAAACTTTCAGAAATCTTCCTCAAACTCGTTTAACAACACGATATTTGAGCATTCAAACCGTTTCCAGCCCTATTCTGAATGTTCCTTCATAGAACACGAGCAAGAGCAAGGATCTTTGATTTGCGAATCGAGAATTGATCACGAAAATGAGCCCGAGGCTAAGAGATGGTAAGGTTTCTTTTATTTACATATATATCAGTTTCACTTGCATGTTATGAAAATCCATAAATAAAAAGATAAAATAAAGTACAAGTTCAAGTTTTCAAATCATTTCCTTACTCCAAAGATATTGTGATATATCTCTCTTAGGCTGAAGGGTGGGGTGCGGTTTCAGCTGATGTGGCACTGAAACACCGCCCCCTTTATGCGGTTTTGGAAGTGCAGTTTGGGAGTGTGACAAAAATTGGGGGTGCTCTCTTTCTCTCTCTCTCTCTTCCTCTATCTCTCTATCTCTCTCTTCTTTCTCTCTCTCTTCCCTAACTCTCCACCCCTTGGGTGTTGTAAAAAAATGCGGTAAAAGGAGGGAGTGTGGCACCACACTCCAGTCTTACATGTTGACAATGTGATTGGTTGGTGAGACCATTAACGTAGCTTATATTTGTAGGCTATGTTACTCAGAAGATACCTATAACATTTTATTTGAAGGCCCTATTAATATTATTAATATGATGTGACTGGGAAATTAATATTTAAATGGATATGAGAGAGAAAATGTAAATGTTATTTGAAGGCTTTATTGTTATGATGTGATGGGAAATTAATATTTAAATGAGAATGAAAGAGAAAATGTAAATGAGACATACCGAATAAATAACAATTAAGAAAACCGAGTCACATATATGATATGCTTCCTTTTCTTTTGCAGGAAATTAGATGAGGTTGAGAGTGAAGCGATCTCTTCTGGTTTGAGTAAAACCCTTGAAGAACCAAGACTAGTTGTTGAAACCAAAAGTGACATTGATATACTTGATGATGGATACAAATGGAGAAAATACGGGCAAAAAGTAGTTAAAGGAAATATGAATCCAAGAAGCTACTACAAATGCACATACGTAGGGTGTCGAGTACGAAAGCTCGTCGAACGAGCCTCGCATGATTTTCAGTCCGTGATCACGACCTATGAAGCCAGGCATAACCATAGCGCGCCTATGCCACGTCGTGGTGTCAATTACGCCATCAACCAAGCATCCACATCTACCACAACCACAACTAGTAACAATTGTGGGGTCGTGATATCTAGGCCTCTACCAAACTACACAAATAACTTTAATGGTAGGAAGGGTTTCACCGGTAGTCAAACTCATATTCTACAAGCATTAGAGAACTCGACAAATTATAGTTATTCTGAAAAATTCGTATCTGAATCCAGCACCGGAGTGTTAGTGTCAACTACTAAGAAAGAACCCGAAATTGACTTCATCTTTAACTCGTTTTTAGACTAAAATCATGATTATGTTTGTACCTATTGTACTATACTCTAGAAAAGGTCTATATATGTTTGTTTAACCGTTAGAATGTGAAAATCCATAAGTAGGCTTCAAATATAGACATCATTTTCCTTGCTTGTTGATATATTGTGATTTACTTTTACATGTTACTGGTGGGACGCACGTGATGACTTTACCACTTTTTTTGCGTTTTCATGGCTTTTTCGATGACATGTTGATTTACAATGACAACCTAGATAAGCACTCATGAATTATCAAAACTAATGCTATCGACTAGTAGAATTTTGGGCATTAGCAACGGTCGAAGTCATATGGTAATTTGTATAATATCAATCGGCAGCAGAATAGCAACGAAATTTGCCCATAAAAATGAATGTCTCACTAGTTGACGTTCTTTTTCTTAAGTTTGAATTTTACATGTGTATAGTTCCACCAACTAAAGAAAAACGTCCCAATACAAATAGAATAAACGTGTATTTGAAAACAACAAAAAATAGAAAGCTACCTAGACGTAGTTTTGCTTTACCTTTTTTTTTAACCGTCAAATATAATATATAATCTACTCTTAAACTAACGCCTAAATTCACCTATATCTCCGGTCACCAAGTTTGTTACTAGCCATGATGATGAAAGCAAGGAACAAAAAAACCAAACCGGAACCTTATAATCCTAAGGATCCTTTTTTTTTGCCATGTCTTCAAAACTCCAACTTCGAAGGATTCCTACGACATTATATCTTGTCGTGTGATTCCAATTCTGATTTCGGTTCTGGTTCTAGTTTGATTCTACGCATCGAGTATGTTTGTTGGCTTTGATGATTATTTTTGTGAAATATGATACAAATGGGGTCGAAAAGAAAAAAAAAATCTTCTACCAAGTTTGATTAGAGAATAAGGTTTTTGTTGTGATTATTATTATTATTATTATTATTATTATTATTTGGGTTTTCTGGTATATCGGTTTTAGGTTTAAATTTGAAGGGTTAAAAGCATATGACAATTGACTTATCCACGGCTCCTTCATACTCGTTAACGGCTTCTTGCCTACAATTGAATTGTTGTGGGGAATGAGAGTTACAATAGGGCCCAAAGAAATGGAAGGCCCAAAATTTTTATCTTAGGCACTAGGCAGGTTACCGCAGGTAGCCATCGGAGGCGGGAAATGATAAATCAGAAAACCAATTGGGAAGACACGGATTCAAGAAATAAAAACTATTGAAACTTATCGTCATTCTTGGAAGTCTGAAACAAACAAATCAAATGGTTTCCCTCAACCATTAATTTTCTAGTAAGAATTCAAAGTAAGCATTCCAATTCTCATGCTTCAGTGCTTATATTTCGATTTATAATTGGTTTTCCGTCTTCTCAAAGTGTTTTTTAGCATCCTGGGTTATGCACATAAGCTTATTTGATGAAATTCCTGTTAGAACTGTGGATGGTAATGAAATCGGCGTGACCAAACGAGTGCTCATGACCATGACAGAATGGGATTGTTTAAAAGATTCTAAATAAAAAAGAACCTTAGGAAACTTTTGTTATGTAATTGGAGTTCTTCTCTTCAAGTATTTTAGTTAATATTCTATGGTTCTTCATATTTAAAACATTAACTTTTGCAGGAATCAGCATATTAGCTTCTTAACAAAACGAATGTATCTTCACGATGGAAAAGAGGTTTTACTCTATGCAAGTTTGATCGATTCTTCTCCTTTTCCTCACCGGGCTACTTCTACTTTTTTGGCAATGAAAACCGGCATTAATCGCTAAAATTTAGCCACTGGTTTTATGTTTGTCGGGTGAAGAAAACCAACATTTTCTCTTTGCAATCGTTGTGCACACCAACTGTTCGACATATTGCTACATAGACTGTTTCTTCACCAAATATGAGGAGAAGTTCAATCTTACCATTGTTACGTCTGCACCAACCCTTAACATCTTCCTTATATGACAAAATCTGGGACAATTCCTCTTTCACCAAATCAAGTTTTATGTGGATTCAAATCATGCACAAAACCTGTGGAGGAAGAAGACCCAAAAAGAAAATCTACCATAGAGTCCATGAACTAGACAAAGCCATGGACCTCCAAAAGAAACCCAATGTCATCCTAAAGCTCAAATCAATCATCCAATCACAAAAGAACCAATCTTTACTTCTCAGAGACCTCGAAAAAGAAGTGGGATTTATTCAAAAATGGAATTTCATAGCTGTTATTGAAAAATACCCATTAATATTCCACGTCAGCAGTGGTCACAAAACACCACCTGCAGTCTCACTTACCAAAAAAGCCGAAAAGATTGCTTCTGAAGAATCTCTAGCCAATGAACTCATGGAACCCATTTTGGTCAACAATTTGAAGAAACTATTAATGTTGTCAGTTGATTGTAGGTTGCCACTTGAATCCATTGATTTAATTCAACCCGAATTTGGTTTACCTTCTGATTTCAAGAAATCTTTAATCCCAAAATTTCCCGAATTTTTCTCTGTAAAAGAAGTACGCGGGATTCCCCATCTTGAACTTGAAACATGGGATTCCTCCCTTGCGATAACTGCCCGAGAGGAAAGATTGATCCAAGATAGAATTTCGGGCAGTTCCGGGCAGCTGAAACGGGCACGAATTTCAAAAGATGGAAACTTTCATGGCCCTTTTGCTTTTCATTTAAAATTCCCAGTTGGGTTTCGACCAAACATGAGTTATCTTCAAGAACTTGAAAAATGGCAAAAGATGGATTTTCCTTCTCCTTATTTGAATGCAAAAAGATTTGAAGTTTCTGATCCTAAAGCTCGGAAGAGGGTGGTTGGAGTTCTTCATGAGGTTCTTAGTTTGACTATGGAGAAAAGGTTGACTTCTGCACAGCTGGAAGCGTTTCATTCAGAATTGAGATTGCCTGCTAGATTGTTGCTTTGTTTAATTAAGCATCATGGTTTGTTTTACATTACTAATAAAGGTGCAAAGAGTAGTGTTTTTCTTAAAGAAGGTTATGAAGGGTCAAGATTGGTTGATAAATGTCCACTTTTGATGTTTAGGGATAAGTTTGTAGCACTCAGTGGGAGGAGAGATGTTGAACATTCATCATGTGTTGTATGAACATCAATTTAGAAGTTTTTTATAAATATGGTCTTTATGCTTTTATTTATATGACGGTTATTTGATACATGTGACATTTTAATATAGTATACATGTGATAGATATCATGGCATTTTATTCAAACTGATCATAACAATAGGTACATTAGTACAAAATGTATTTGTATAAAGGAATTGTGAAATATGATATTGTTCGTAATTTATGAACATTTGAAACAAAAAGTAGAGTTGCACATAATCGGGCCTAGGCCCGTGATGGCTACTATGGGCCTATGGCTACATGAATGGTCTCTTTTCTCTTTAGTATATAAGGCCATAGATGATTTGAAAACTTAAAAATATTTTACTATATACGGAAAATCAGCATCTTCGTATGTATTGTGATCTTGTAGATATTGTTTAAGATCCTCAACGTGAACTTTATATACAAAACACGTTTCCTTCATGTCCCATTTTGATATTTTTGCGTTATCCTTTTTTATCAGTCTCTTTAACGTTATAATACGCCGTACCTTCTCTCCCGGTAACCGGTCATCCCACCACGTCGTCTTCCTCCAGACTCTTTTCCTCTTTTACTCTCTTCCTTTTTCACAAACCGCGAATCCTTCTTTCTTCTTTCATAGATTCCTCCGCCTCCAAGAATTTCTACATGTCTTGGAGATAAGAGAGAATCAAAGTAAATAGATAACAATGAAGAAGAACTATCCTTGAGTAAATCGAATTCCCCCCTGTAGTAATCCATTAACAATGATATGTTATCATCCCCATTTTACGCTTCAATTTCTTCTATTTTTACTCAGTTCTTCCAATAACCCTCGCCTAACTCTCATCGGTGCTAATCACACCTCCGCCCGTTTCTGCTCCCGTTAGTCTCATCCATACCCGACTGAATTCAATCTCTCTCCATGGGCCCTTCCACCGGGAAACGCGGCTTCCTCCGAAACATTGTGGTTCGATTTTTCTTATTCTCGCTTCTCGTCTTCGGCATTCGGTTTGCTTATGTTATCGTTATCCATGGCGAATCGTGCGATATCGGCGATGAATTCTGCTTTTTCTCCTCGTCAAATTTGTTTGAAAATCAAAAACTCGTCACTACTGCCGGTGTCGGACATGCATCTTCTTCCTCGGTTATCCTCCATCCCGCTGCTGCTTCGACGCCGGAGTTTCAGAAACGTGTGATGTTTTATATCACCGTGTTCCAGGATCTCATAGTTGACGGATTTCTTTCGACGAAGTCGAAGGCTCTGTGCGTTGAAACGCCTATCGGTGACGACGTTTACGCTTTGAAAGAGATTGGGGTCGACGACGCAGTCGGGATATACAAGAAAGCGGCGAAGCCGCTTGTGATTAACGGGCTAGGGTTCCGGCAGCCGTTTCACGATAACACGTTTGATTTTATATTCTCCGGCGCCGGTGGGTTTGACAGATCGGAAAAGGCAGCTGAATTCGCCGAAGAAGTTCAACGTACACTTAAACCCGAAGGGTATTTCATTGTTCATACAGCATCTAATGATACGTACAGTTTCAATTCGTTTATTGGTTTATTCAATTGTTGTAAATTCATACGTTCGCGTCATATCGATGGATTCGATTCCAATATGCCTGAAATACACGAAATCGTGATGAAGAAAGTGAACGATATCAAAATCAGGAGAAAAACCGATCAAAATTCAAACAACAAATGCTATGTTAAAGGCTATAAACAAGATTTAGTCAAGAGAGCCGAGCCTTTGATCCCAAAAGAACCATTGAAACCATGGCTGACACTAAAGAGAAACATCCAGAATGTGAAGTATCTCCCTTCCATGGTGGACATCACCTTCAAGCAAAGGTACATCTACATAGACGTTGGTTCTCGCAGCTATGGTTCCAGCATTGCCAGTTGGTTCAAAAAACAGTATCCAAAGCAAAACAAGACATTCGAAATATACGCCATTGAAGCAGATAAGCACTTTCACGATCAATACAAATCAAAAAAAGGTGTCACCTTGTTGCCATACGCTGCATGGGTTAAAAACGAGAGTCTAACCTTTGAAATCAACCAAACTCCAGGCGATGAAAACGTTGAAAAAGGAAGAGGAATGGGTCGGATTCAACCAGTTGAGTCAGGTGGTGGGATTGTGGGGTCCGTTGATGAGATCCAAGGATTTGATTTTGCAGAGTGGTTGAAGAATACGGTGACAGAAAAAGATTTTGTGGTGATGAAGATGGATATTGAAGGGACAGAATTTGATTTGATCCCAAGGTTAATTGAAACTGGTGCTATTTGTTTGATCGATGAGGTTTTTCTTGAATGCCATTACAATCGGTGGCAGAAATGTTGCCCTGGTGTTAGGAGCCCAAAGTATCAAAAAACTTATGGACAATGCTTGGATCTGTTCAAATCCTTGAGACAACGTGGTGTTCTTGTTCATCAATGGTGGTGATTGGTGACTGGTAATTTCATATACTCTAATACTCTTTTTTTCCTTGTTATTATACATGAAAATATGAAATGTTGTACGTGTAGATCTTTTTCCTCCTCATTTAGATTTGCCTTGTAAGAATGCACATTTTATTTGATCATATTATGTTTATATCTTTGATAGTTATGATATGATTCTTGATTTTTCACTGATTATGGGCAAGGTTTTGTGAGAGATTGAACAAAGATTTTGTAGGGGATTTGGAATGACCTACATGATTAAATGAAGCATATGATGTTTGTCTTAAAGAATGTAGGTATAGCTGTAGATGTTCTGGAATGGTCCCATGTATTATTTATGACCCTTTTTAATAACTTAGCCACAAAATTCAAAAGTGGCATATGCTTAATGCTTTATATGGTTTTTAGTTGGGAAAGCTAAAGCAAAAGTCATGCAACTAGGCGTTGCATCTTGTGATTGTCTTTCAAGTTAATTTAGCTATGTGTGTGTATACGTATTCCATACACATACCATACAATTTGTTGATCAACTTTTATTATGTAATAAGTAATATACAAGCAACTAAAATATATAACAACTCACAAACATACTATGTCTATATATTATATTACATTCAAGATTTTATCACATCACATCATGGAATATGGATTAGTCTTCATGATCCCATACATCTGCTACACTCCGAAATGGTCCATCGTTCTTGTTCACAAACAAATCTTCACCATGCAAAACTCGCTTCTGCTTATAGTTTTATAATAATTTTATAATAATATCACTATAAAAATCAAAGAAAAAAAAAGTAAATCACTACACAAAACCTGATCCGAGATGCTGCTAAGAACATTGAAATCCTGTTCAGGAATTGTCCAATCGAACACCTGCATGTTTTCCTTGATCCTATCTGCGTTCGTTGATTTTGGTATCACACTTGTTCCTCTTTGAATCGCCCATCTCACAAGCACTTGCCCTGGGCTCTTGTTTAACTTCCCTGCTATCTTCTCCACCGTTGGATCATGGATCAGATCTCGCCCGTTGTCTTGTGAACCCAATGGGGAGTATGCCTACAACATATCATGAAATGAGATATTGCTGATGATTGAAAAGAGAAAATAAAAACGAAAGGTTGTTTTATGTTACAGTGACATGGATTCCATTCTTCTTGCATGCTTCCAGCATTTTGTCATTCCTCCATCCTGGATGCATCTCCATCTAAAAGATTTGAAGAAAGTTGAAGCTCAGAAGATGAATGAAGAACTCTGAAATGAGATGAGATGATGGAAACCTGGCACACGGAAGGCATTGTTTGTGCAAATCCAGTTAATTTGTTGAGTTTTTTTAACGTGAAATTGCTGATTCCGATGTCTCGAACTAGGTTTTGTGTTTTAAGCTTCTCCAATTCTCTCCAAACACCTTCCATGTCGAAGTTTAAGACATCTCCTGCTTTGGGAGGCCTACTGGCTCCTTCTTTAAGACGAAATGGCCAATGGATCTGTAAACAGTAATATTAAAAATAAATCGTGGAATAGAATTTGAATATGAAAAGCATAATGAAGTTTACCAGATAAAGATCAAGGTAGTCGAGCTGAAGCTCTTGAAGTGTGTTCAACAATGCTGGACGAACCCTTTCCGGAGACAAATCATGACACCTGAATGTATGTATGTTAAAGGATACTCTATATTCTTATCAATTTATCATCAAATTTACTAAAATTTCATGGTGTACCATAGCTTGGATGTGATGAACAGATCCTTCCTCTCGATTCCTGCATCCATGGCTGCCTTGAGACCATGCCCTACCTGCAAATAGGTTTCAACATGTTTTGTTATTATAATTAACAAGGAAAAACGAATGTAAAGTGTAAGATTTGAATACCTCTTCGTGAACGCCATACTCCCATGCTGTATCAATGTGTCGATAACCAGCCTGTATTTAAATTTACAATAACAACAACAACAACAACGATTGCATCTCATTTGTTTTGTAAATTAAAATGACCTGAACTTGAGATCTGATTTCAGTCGTGTAAGAATCGAGTTCAGTTCAGGCATAGAAGAAAGAGGAGTTAATTGGAAATAAGAACGAAGGATGGATGATCGATGTGACCTCGAGAATAGCGGTGGCGACGGAATCGGAAGCTTGGGAATCCGATCTCCATGTCCCTAATCCAACGGCGGGAATTCTGTGTCCACTCAACAATACAAACGATTGTACATCTTCCTTTGCTCTCAATGTTGATTGCGCCATTGATTCTTCAATACTGAGAAACTCTAATTAAACCATTTCCCTCCCGATTTCTTGCTTTATTCATATAGGGACTGAAGAACGAGTGGATGATGAAAATCGAAAGGAAGATGTAACACGTAGCTCGTTGTTTTCAGTGTCAGCAACATTGCCGGATTCCCCTGTTCTCGCCACGTTATGGTTTTTGATTCTTTTCCTCCGTGGATGTTCATTGCTGGCACATACGTGGCGGATTTCCTTTTTCAGGGAAAAAAATGATGCCATCTTGGCTCTTTATCCAAATCACTTTTTTTCTTTTTTTTTTTTTAACTGAAGCTGTAAAGCAAATGTAAGTTATGTAAAGGTATTTGGCAAACAGTAAATTAATAGACAAAAAAATGGCTTTTCTAAAATATTAAGAATTCTTGATTTTTTCAAAAAGCAAATAATTTTTTATTTTTTCAAAATGTCAATAAACATTTTGAGAACAATCTCAAACATGCTATTATTTATCATATACTCCATATTTTTTATTTCCAAAAAGTCAAGAATTCCTGACTCTAACCCATCCTTCCTGGTTCAAAGATTTGGCAAGCGCAACAATCACTACGGCATCACTTTTACCTTCGGCAACCACCAACGGCCACCACTTGCAACCATCACCGGTTGTCGTAGACACCAAATCAAACCTGAGATCAAACCTCAAAACCAAACCTAAATCAAAGCCAAACTTGAAACCAAACCTAAATCAAACCTGAGATCAAACCAAAATAAAACGTGAAATCAAAACTCATAACCAAACCAAAATCATCAAAACCAAACTTGATAATCAAATCTAAGTGTGTGGCATGAGGTTGTAGACGATAGCGGAGGATCCAGTGTGGGAGAACGTCGGTTACAAGGCAAAATGGTGGTAGATTTCATAAAGGGAGAGCGTTGGTTATCAACCAAAACGAATTTGAATGCAGCCAGAAAGGCTCTAGATCCCATCAAGCACCCGATTTTACTTCCATAAATTCATTTCAGTGGGTGTTCAATGATTATTCAAGTTGCGATTTGATTTTCATAAATCAGTAGTAGTCATTGGACGTGATTTAGAAATCAAGCTAAAATTGATTTTTCAAGTTGTGATTTTATAGGAAATTTTTCCGCTCTAACATAAATGGAATGGATTACTGGCCCTAATAGAGCTTCGACTAAACGACCAGTCGGAAAATGGTCCATGTGGCGGTGGTGAATCCCATGATTTCACTCAATCACGGTTAACACTTTTCAATGATAACTTAAGATGATGCACCAAGACACATCATGTTTACGTATACTTGTTTTTGTTTACTTGTAAGTCATTACATTTCAAATGCCTTAATATCTCAAGCATTATACTCTTATCTCTTTATCTTTTTATCACTCGTAAGTACTTTTGTCATGTGTCTCTCGTGTTTCACCAAGGACGTAGAGTAGATGAGTACACATTAATTAAAAACAATCACAAAGTTCTCAAATAAATGGTTTGAAAACCCAATTCATAGGGTCCATAAACAGAAATAATGCATTCATCAAACCAAATGGCATCATTAAAATTTAAAATATACACATCCTGTACAAACTGCCATTTATCAAGGTTATATTCTTTTTCGCCAAAAAAAATTATTACTTCTGAAGCACATTCCTTCTAATTATGTGACAACTACGGGCGGAGCTTCAGCATTTTATTTGGGAGGACCGGAAATATAATATGTATAAAAATCGGTAAGAAGGAGGGCCATAGTCAAAATTTTATATTTTTAGGCTTAATATGTATAAAATTAAAGTATATGGGCTACTTCTAACCAAAAAAATCAGGTGGGCCACAACCCCCCTCGCCCTAATAAAGCTCCGCCCCTGGTGACAACGATCACATATGCTAAGTTGGAATGGTATCCCTTAGTTAAACACTTGTGTGCCTTCAATATAGATATTACACCCATCTTCATTCTCTTCTTTATAAATTAAATCTGGTTCACTTAATGTTCATTTAAAGTGCCACCTCTCACGACATCTGGATTCTTAATTCCCTAAAAATTTTCAAATATCAAAATACAAAATCAGTTCACTACCTATTTGACTTACCTCGTCTAGAAGTTATCAAATCACTACATGACATAATCCACATATATTTCTCATCTATTGTGATAGACCTCTGTCGTATAAGGAGGAATTTTAAGTAATCAAACTAAAGGATTCCATATTAGCTTAAATGCACTCCATGACATGCCACAAAGCAATCAACATTCATCCCAATTCAAAGCCCATATGCCTTGAAAGAAATGTTCCCAATAATCGTCTTGTGTTTTCTAGAAAAACCCATACATGTCGTACCTACTATGGTACATGTGGAATTATTCATGTAGATTATGCGATAAATTTTAAAATACTAAACTCGTTATTTCGAAATAGTATAATGGCACATGGTTAGACTTATACCATATCACCTTATATCAAAGGGTATCTCTGCTTAAAAATTATTTAGACCATTATTCTTCTTTTAAATGTAGGTTGCCTATATTTACAATTTGCTTGTTTAGATGCTACTCTAGTAGATTTTCACTAAGACCAGATGAGATGTAGTTGCATTAATGATAGTGAAAGATTGACAGTCGAGTCCTAGTAGTAGCAGTAGAGTTACGACTACGTAGTTGATTCATAGTGCCCCATTGGTGGAAGATATGGGTGCCATAGTAAGGTTAGTGAGGGTGATGTATGGTCCAATGCTAGTATGGCTCAATGTCATAGATATGCATCCCTCTCGTAGGGTGTCGATCGAGCAAGCCGGAGTAAGGTATTTTTTTAATTTAAATTTATGTTGATTAGTGGTGTTATTAATATACTTATTTTGTTTTTTCAAATTCTTAGGTTCAGTGGGAAACTTTTGACCCGTACATCATGTGTATCCTATATTTGTTCTATGTTGCTCGCGATGTTGACAAGAAAAACGGGAGGTTTATGTTTGAGTGTTTCCAGGTAATATATTAATGGTTTATGTTATTTTTTCTTCATTTGTCTTGAGTTTGTATATTTAAATTTGCATTTTATTTTGTACATGACCATTTTATATGAAATTACTACATTAAGCATATGTATGTCGATGAGATTTTAAGATCTTGTAGTGTAACTTTCTTAAAAGAAAGCTCCAATTATGATATAATGTTTCTTTGAATTTTATATTGAAATATTTCAATATATTTTAGAGAGAAAAATAAATTTAATCATTTTCTCTAATGACTTTTTACTTAATAACCAAAAATTAACCTTTTTTTTCAAAAAATAATCACTGAAACCGTAGATGGGACTACCTTATATGGGGCCTCGTCACATCATCTTCGGTTTCTTCATAGGTGGCAAACACACATTTGGTTTCGTCTCCTCATCTGTGGTTTCGTCGCCTCTTCTTCGATTTCACATTCCAATAAAAAAAATCATTTTTAGTTGAAATCGCAGATGAGGCTAATCTATGGTTTCATCTCCACTCATCTTCGGTTTTATTCATCGTTCATGGGTTTCGATAACGAAACCACATATTGGTATATGCCTCGTCTTCGGTTTCATAGACTCATCTTCAGTTTCGTTCTTCGTTTTGATTTTTTTTCAAGACATGTTTGATTTTGTTGTTGTTTATCCGGGTTTTTTTAATTGTTGTTTGTTATCCTTGAACAAGTACTACTAGGTTAATTTGCCTTGAAAAAAATCAACACGAAGAACAAAACTGCAGACAAATCTATGAAACCAAAGATGAGGCATATACCAATCTGTGGTTTCGTCATTAAAGCTCAGGAACGATGAACGAAAAAACATGAACAAAACCGAATATGAGTGGAGAGGAAATGCATATGAGGTAACCTCATCTGCGATTTCAACTAAAAAAATGAATTTTTTTATAGTGGCAGGCGAAACCAAAGATGAGGTAACGAAACCGCAGATGAGAAGAAGAAACCAAATGCATGTTTTGCCATCTATGACGAAACCAAAGACGAGGTGACGAAACCGCAAATAAGGTAACCTCATTTAGGGATGAGAATTTGGCCCGAAAACCCGAACCGAATTAGACCCGAATAAGCAATTCGATTCGGTTTTCGGGTATCTATATAAGGCTTATTCGGTTTTCGGGTTATTCGGTCCGGGTTACCCGAATAAGGGCTTATTCGGTCCAAAAACCGAACCGAATATGAAAAGTCACATTTTTTTCCTAACACGATTGCTTATTCGGTGTTCTTTTCTATCGATCGTTACCCAACAAAACCCACGTAATAGACCAAAAAAAATCAACTAAATCGAATTCGATCATCCGTATTACACCAAAGCTTTAGAAGAGGCGATAAAGAACGGAGATGGAAAGGGAAAACAACCAATTAATATTCCCGAATAGTTAATTCGTGTTTGAAAAATGTTATTTTGGATATGGATAAAAACTTAAGATTCATATTTTAATTTGGGTGTGGAATGTTTAATGTTTAACTTATATACTTATAGATAGATTTTTGGGTGTTTTGGATGTTTAATTTTTAGTGTTTAATTTGTTTCTTTAAAAGATTTGTTATGAAATCATAAGCTACAAAAATCATACAAAATACAATATTTATAATCACATTGTAAATGTTATTTGGGTTATTTGGGTTATTTGGGTTCTTCAGGTTATCCGACTCCTTAATCATCTTGTACATGTTATTTGGGTTATTCGGGCCGGAACCGAACCGAACCGAATAATACTCAAACCGAACCGAACCCGTATTGCTTATTTGGTTCGGTTTTCGGTTCATACAATTACTCTTATTCGGTTTTCGGTTTATTCGGGTTCGGGTCGGTTCGGTTCGGTTCCGACCCGAATAACATCCCTAACCTCATTTGCAGTTTCAATGGCTATTTTTTTAAAAGAAAATAATTTTTGGTTACTAGATGAAAAATCATTAAAAAATAACTAAATTTATAATTCCCGCTATATTTTACAAACTCCTGGATATTTGGAATCAACCGAGTATTAACAATCCCTTGCTTGGGATAATTTGGATGATATATATCAACATATAACATATTTTAATTTGTTTGTTGATGAGACGTCACCTATATTTGAACATAGGAAAAATG